GTCTGTAAGTGGCTTCTGTTATTAAAATGGGAGGTGATATAGGATGTACATTTTTAATGTCTTGTTTATTTTATAATGCAGTTGGGCTGTCTGGATCCATTATGACATGAAGATTAACAAGCTAATCTGGGTATTAATATGATTTTACACCATTTTCTTTTAAGTAATACCTTTTATGCAGCAGTAGCTGCATACCATTTACCTTATAAATTCCATTTTAATTAGCCTGCACACAGATCTTAAAGTTTTGCTTTATATATTAAAGTGCATCACAAAATGTGCTTATACTTAATAACCATCTAACAGAAGTTTCTTTTCCTTGAAAGTATAACTTAAAAATGCTCAAATACTAAATCTAATTATACACAGCTTAATTAATCATATCCTATTGAAAACCCATATATGTTATATATGGTACATATATTTTTTCTGACTACATTTCCCAATGTGATAACATTCAAAATCCAGGAAAAAGAAGTATATTTTTCTTTAGATGTTATTTCTTGATGATTAAAGCCAAATATATTAAGTTGTCTTTATTTTAATGGACCATACTCAAATATCAATAGTTTATAGGGGATCTTGATTTTATTTTATTTTTTATTATTTATTTATTTATTTTTTTCAGAACCGGGGATTGAACTCAGGCCCTTGTGCTTGCCAGGGAAGCACTTATTCTACTGCGCCATCTCCTCTGCCCCCATTGGGATCTTGATTTTATAGGCAATAGAAGATAATTAATTGGACTGTTTTTAAAATTATTTTTTTAACAGGACAGAAGTTCCTTCTGCCATCAGATGTCTTTCTGCTTGACTGAACTGCACTTGTGGTCTTTGAAGAATACCTTGCACATTGGGGGTAAATAAGCTCTGGATCAATTATAATATTTAAAAAATAAGTTTCACCATTACAAGTAAGTAGCAATGGTTAGAGCCTCGATTCTCCAGCTAAAGTTGCATTCCTTATCCTTAATGAAATATTGGCTAATGGGAATGATTCCTTTTAATTACTCTTAACTTATGTTTCAGCTTGACTTAAGTTTTCAGATTTGAAAATTAATTTTATTGATTTAATATTTGTTTCTTCCTAAGATTCTCGTATGTTCAATTATTTCCCTGGGATTGTTCTTAATAACTGATTAATAATCAAATATTTACAGGCTAGCTAATGGTAGATATTTATACTTAATATTAAATATTTCAAATATACAATTACAATAATACAATTATTTTTAATTTTTTAAATTTGATACAAGGTCTCGATACATAGTTCAGACTTGAAGTGATCCATCTGTCTCAGCCTCCCCAATACTGGGATTATAGACCTGGGCCACCATGCCCAGTTTCAGGGCCAGCATTGTGTGCCTGGGGTTTTAGAGCCGGCATGGCATGTGGTACTGGGGATCAAACTTGGTTCTTTTGCTTGCCAGGCAGGTGTTTAGACTACTGAGCTATCTCCCCAGCCCCACAATTATTTTTATATTCTTTATATTCTTTGCATTTTACATTTCTTAGGGGGAGTAATGTTTTATCAATATTAATATATGACATAAATATTTCACTAGGAAATATCTTTTTAAAGGTCTTCTTTTATTATCCCAAACAACATTTGTATTTAGGACATTTTCATTCATATGCCTCTTAAATCAAAGGTTAAACATATTTGCTCCCCAAACTCATCTAAAATAAAAGTAAAATGAGTTAAATAAAGATGGTATAAACATACTAAGAGTATGAGAATAGGAAAGGGAAAAACTGCATTTGGATAATTTTTGGCAGATGGAGGGAATGAAGGAAATACAAGAACTGAAAGATCTGAGTATCACTGGCTTAGAAAATTCCATGGACAACTGTTATATCGGAAAGCTCTAGAAAGTTAAAGAAATTCAGGGAGCCAGATACTACATAAGATGGGTATGTGGCATATGGGTGACAACAAAGGGACTTGAAGGCCCACATAAGAAGTAGTGAGGCACCTCTTATGCTGCAGATATATTTAATATGAAGACTCTGAACTTGGAGATAGCAGGGCCAGTGGAAGACTTATCTACCTAAAAACAGAGAAGCTCACATGCTGTTTGGAATGTCTTCTTAATCCCACTTGGTTCTGAGAATTTCATACTCAGAAATTTTCAAGAAAGAAGAATTTGAGTAATTTGTCTTTGAAGTGACTGCATGGTCCCTCAGAGACCATCTACATTGACACTTGAGGGCAATCTTCAGTGAAATACAATTCTCTGGCCCCTGGATGTTCAATGAAGGACTCTCGTTGACAAACCCAATTTATGTACTCAGAGATTCCAGTTTTTTTGTTGTCTCACTTTTAAATGAAGCAGAGAAGTAAGGATCACCAGATAATTGAGGAATGTCTTTAATAGGAAAGAAAACAGAACACATAAATGAGACAAAGATTTCTGAAGAAACAAACAAATATAGAAAGGAAAAAGAATATACAAGGGCTGGCCAGATATCTCAGCAGACTAAAGTACCTGCTTAGGTAGGTGCAGAGACCAGGTTTCGATCCCTGGTGTGCAGTGCCGTCCCTGCTTCCGGGGCAAGTTGAGACAGTGACTGAGACTGGGCACGGTGGCTCACACCTATAATCCCAGGGCTCAGAAGGCTGAAAACAGGAGGATCACTATGAGTCGCATCTGTGTAGCGAGACCCCGTAGATCCTGTACTAAACATATAAAAAGAGAAAGAATATAAATTAGAGACTTAAGGAAAGATAATTAATTCATAAATCAAGAAATAAAACACAAAATCTTCAGAAAGCATTAAATTATTATGAATTAAAACTATATAATGGGCTGGGAAGTTAGCTCAACAGCCCAGTGTCTGCCTGGCAAGCTTAAGGTCTTGAGTTTGATTCCCATACCAAAACAAACAAACAAACAAACTCTAACAGTGGGCTGAGGATGTAGGTCAGTGGTAAAGTATTTGCCCAGCTCTGGATTCATTTCCCAGCATAGCAGTAAAATGAAATGAAAATTAAAAATTTAAAGATATAAACAGAAAAAACTTAGAAGGGCAAAATATTGTTCTGTGTGTATGCAGGATAATTTGGATGATTGTTCTGCCAATTTCTGCTGGTCTTTTGCATGGAGCAGTTAATGCTTCAGGTTTTTCTTTTTAATTTCTTAAAATTTTTTTGTTGCTGTTGCTTTCTTCTTTTAAAAAAATCAATTTTTCACATTTATATTTGGTAACCTAAACACCTAATTTGAAGATAGCATCATGCAATACAGTAACCATTGTTGAATTCTTATACTTTGTATAGTGAAATTTTGTATCGTTTCTAATGCTTTTTTTTTTTTTTACCATTTTGTATTCTTTAAAAAATAAAAATGATAATTTAAAAAATTTAAACCTTAAAAGCAGCTGGGGGCTGTGGCACATATCTGTAATTGTAGCTATTCTGGAGGCTGAGACAGGAGAATTGCAAGTTTGGGCCAACCTGGTCAGCTTAGTGAGGCCCTGTGTCAAAAATAATATTAAAAATGAAATAAGAATGTAGTTTAGTCTCTCATATTACCAAAGGGAAAAAAAAAAAAAAGCAAAAACTACCCACAAACAAAGGTTATTTTGCTATGAGTGGGAATTTTAATTGAAAATTTAATTTTCTTCTCTGATCATAGTTGCATACATTTCATCTTTCTCATGTGTCTATGATTTATACTTTTTGAGACTTTTGATCTTCGTATTTTTTTTTCTGGAGTTGTAAAAATACATAGGTGTATGGAATGATGATATAATTCTAGCTTAGAATTATTTTTGGAGAGTATTTTTACTTGCATGCATAGTGCCTGTGGTTCTTAGCTTTAAGCAACAAATTTTTTATTGAAGTATAAGTACTGAAAAGTGTGCAGATCATAACAGTGTGCTCAGAATGAGTGCACACCTATAAAATCACCACCCTGGTCAAGAAATAAAATCCTGGTACTCAAGCCCCATTCATGACTTCTCCCAGTCCAACCTTACTAGATATTTTCAGTCTATTGGATTTAAAATTGTATTCTTTAAAATTGCATGTTTTAATAATGGCATGATGAATAAAATAGAGCTTCAGTAAGTATATATGATGGACTGTTGAAAAACTGTGAAGAGTTAATTATAGCTTGTGTGTGGGTACATGTGCTGTGTGGTTTTATCAGTTTGAAAAAGTTTGGAGCAGTCAGTCACTAGGGGGCAGTCTGTACTGCTTTCATTCCTTTAGAGACAGTTGTATCTACCTTATGGTAGTTACTGAAAATTTTGCATGGAAGAAAACAAATGTTACTTCAATCAAAGGAATATCTCATTGTTTATAGATATGGTGAAAATGGACAAAATTATTACCTGCTCCTGTATTTAAATGGCAAGAACAGAGTCCTAGGTTAAATCAGTGTCAACATCTGGAAGCGTAGCTTTTCTTCTCAGCTAGTCCCAGCAGAGCATCCGAATTTGAATGAGTTTGGAAGCTTTTTGAATCTAAACAAGTTTCAGATAATAATTTATCTGTACTTCTCCATAATCCTCCCTTTCTTTCCTGCAGATTTCCCCCCAAATGCTGTATGACGGGAACGAGACTCTTGAGCTAAATTGGAGAAAAGCAAGCCACAGCTCCGAATCCAACAGCTAGGGCATTTTCTTCTATCCACTGATTTCATTTGGCATTGCTTAGTGGCAGTTCCTTTTGGTAGCGCCCTGTGAAAAATATCAGAGGAAGTGTGAAAGAGAAAACTTGGTCTTCCTTGATTTCAGTTCTTTACTAATCTTTTCCTCATGCCATTCTAGTTTTGTGTAAATTTTTTCTCATTAGATTGATAAACTTTCCAGTTTCTGCATATCCCTAGAATAGATGAACCCATGTCCAGATGCTTTTGAGCTATTTTATTTCTAGTAACATAAGGAGACTGTTTCTGCTCCCCTCCCCATCCTTGCCTCCAATATAGTATGGTTTGGCTTCTTATTCTCCAGAACTTTTTACCATAATTTAATGTTATTTTCCCCTTTCTATAGATAGAGACATCGGCATCTACCAGTATTATGACAAGAAATATCCACCAGGTAAAGTATCTTTTCAACTAATTTCTATAAACTATGCTAAACAACAAAATATTAAAAATTCTTATGAGCTTTAGATAGAGTCTAGAATTTAAAGAAAAGTCACTTCAGTTCTTTAGAAAAACAGTGATGTTAATATCTGTCTGATGTATATACAATAAAGTAATATTGATAAAATGTTGTAGAAGAACATGAAAATTTTTATTTTATTGCTGGTCTGGTTGATAACAGCACAGCCTGTTCAGGCTTATTTATTGGTGTCCCAGTAGAGGGCATTGTTAATGCATGAGTCCCACTGATTCTGGCCTCCTGGATCCTCACCTGATTATCTGAAATAGGCATTTCTGAGTGAATGATCAATTTTCGTTATCTGATTAATCCTGTTAATCCCAGAAGTTTTATGATAGGCCAAAAGGTCTCTCTAGCTAGAGTTACTTCCTCTCTGGTCTCTGTTGAAGTGGAGCTTGTTTGAGCATCCTGTGTGCTTAGTTTGGTGCTTAATAGGCTGACTTCATGGTTCTGATGACAGACTGCAGCAGCGTTTCTGGGCTTGGTTGCAATTCCTTTCTCTATCTGATGCGATCAGAAACTCAGGATATTGGCTCACCTGTGTTCTTTGTAAGCCTTTTCATTGCAAATTTAGGGACCATATTTATGATATGAAAGTATCCACATTGTAGCATTTTTCTCAGCTGTCTTTTGTAAAATTTAGCATAATTGATTCATCTCAATAATATGTATAATAACCATTACATGTGTATATATTAAAAATACAAGATACTATGATAAAAAGGAATTCAATTTCTTTTTTTTATCTCTCCTCTTCTACAATGCCATTGACAGAACATGGTAACTTAGAGGAAAAGCAGAAGTTTGCAGAATGTAAGCTTACTTTATAATTTTTTTGAACTATAAAACTGGAAAGTTCAGCATTACAAAATATTGTAATTTTTAATACAAATCAGAAGTGTTACCTGTCCAAATTTCTCATAGTTACAAATTCCTAGTTTTAGGTATAGAAACTTATGGATAGGAATTATTTTTGATGGGCCTTTCTAATTTAGATCATTGGGGTCTCTTTGCCCTACATTGGTAAGATATATGCTATGTAAACATAAACTTTCTTAATGAGTGATGTTTATGCTATTTGATATATTTAAAATGTATGTATCATGCTTAAATTTTGATGCTAACATTCAGTTATACTGAGCCTAAATGATTAACATGTATTCTCCATTTTAAAGCAATAGAATTTATAGTTATCAGTCTTTGCATTTTATTTAACCTTTTCTGCTCTCAAACATATACATATTTATATATATATAATATAGCTTGACTGTTATGTGGTTTTAATGACTTAACTGTAATTTAAGTTTCTATTTCGAATATAGATAGAGCTAAAAATCCCACGCTCTCTTGCTTTAAATGGTTGGACTAACATTTAACTTTTAAAATACTGTATTAGTTGCTGTAGCACAGACTTTAAAGTTTATACATACGTTTTGCATATCAAAATTAGGTTTATAGCACCACATTAATTTGCTGAAATGATATATAGCCAATCTATTATCCAATTTAAATATTTTTATTATATGTGTTATATGTAGTGAACACATACTACACAGATACTCACATATGCTTTTATTTATAATGCAAAGATGGATATATTTTTCTGATAAAATAGATATAGTGAATTTAACAAACTCTCCCTCTCCCTCTCCCCCTCCCTCTGCTTCTCCCTCTGCCTCTTCTTGTCCCTCTCCCTCTGCCTCTCCCTCTCCCTCTCCCTCTGCATCTCCCCTTCCCTTGCCCTCTCCCTCTTCCTCTTGCTCTTGTGTTTCCCTCTCTTCTCTCTCTTTCTTATTGCTGGGGATCAAACCCAACCCTTACATATACTAAGTACGTTGTTTTACCTTTGAGCTAAACCTCTAACCCAATTTTATTAATTTTTTAAAAACAGAAGTAGTTTTACTTTCTTTTAAGAGAAACGTAACAACTCTACTATGTACTTTTATCTTTCAGTTAAACTTATTTAAAACAAAATATGAGTATTTCAGTACTAAATAATGATACAGATTTTAAAGAGGATATTAATGAACACTATTAGTGCCAAATCTGCTAAAATTTGGATTCCCTTCACTTTTTCCAGTTTTTATTTATGATATTTTAATCATATTTCATATATATATATATATTTTTCTAATTGTATTCATTTATTCATGACAATTTCCAGGTTTCAATGAAGCCACATGCAGAAATTTTTTTTGGAATGAGCATTCTGTCATTTACATGAAAAAATTTTCAATGGTGGAGAGTAGGTCAGTTACTATTGTAAGTACTACTAGGTTCACAGTCTAGCAGTTTCCCAGACAGTCTCTAAGCTTTGTTGGTTGTCATCATAATATTATCATTAAGGAGATTGTTTTGTGGTAAAAATCCTATTCCTATCACAAAGCTTTTTAAAGGGCTGTCATTTGATGATAGAAATGAAGCCCACTTCCTCTCAATTATGAAGGTGTTTTATTTTAATCTTCCTAAGGCACACTGCTATGCAGAATTTCCTTTTTTAAATCATGTTTAACTAACCGTAGTACATGTTTTATTTGCCAGCACGAGATTATCCTTGGACGCTCAAAAATAGACGCCCAGAAAAACTTCGAGACTCACTCAGAGAGTTGGAGGTATCTTTCAAAAAGTTTCAAAAATGGTAACAAACAAATCTGTTTTAAAACATCTTTCAACAACTTTAATTTTCATAAAGGATCAACTCTCATGGTGATGATAGCTTTGCTTTTGTCCAGTGCAAAGTTCCCAAACAGTTGCATCTTTGTATGGCATGTTGATTTTTTTCCCTGTTGAATCAGAAGCACTTTAACTGATAATCACAATGTGTATAGCCAACTGCACTCTCTCTTTTTCTGTTGTTCTTTAGGAACTGATGCAAAACAATCAATGTGTGCTGAGCAAATGGAAGAACAAATATGTCTGTCAGGTAAAATGGTTTGACAAGTTTTACAGTGTTTCAACAGTAGAGCTGAAAACTATGTAGTAATTGGTATTTTTGTATTATGATAGGTGGTCAACAAAAACTTTTTAGGAGCGGATATTTCATAGTTTGAATTCTAGTCATACTAGAACTAACATTAGACAGATTGACATAGGCCACCAGGGTACCTCATTAATCAATGTGGTTGTGCTGACATACTATAAACACTAATAAATTTTTTTTTCAGATAGCATTTTTTTGTTTGGATTTTTCTGAATGTTGTTTTAGGTGTTTGCTGGCATGGGTTTAATCATAGTTTGGAGTGAAGATAATGTTACAAGATAAAATGTTTTTCAGTATATCATGCTTTTTAAGTATTTGTGAATACCATGCTCATGGATATCAACAAGCAAATTAGAGACCTAATCCAACAAGAGTCTCAAGAGTTTGAACCCAGTAAGCTGTACTTTTATGGTAGCCACTAGTTGTATGTGGCTGAAGAAGTACAATTCAGTTCCTTGATTGCTCTGCCCACAGTTTGAGTGATCCTTAGAAACAGTGTTGTGTTGGATAATTTAAATGCAAAATATTTTCGTTGAAGTTTAGTCTGTTGGACAGTCCTATTATAGCCTGTAAAACTAAATATTCAGTGGGCCTAGGTGTAGAACATAATTAATACATAATAATTAGTATACATTGGTCATAAAATAATGGATAAATACCTTAGCTTTGCTGATAGTCTTAAAAAATACCATTTGCCTAGAAATAAGTTACTTGTTTGTAATGAAAAAATAATTATTAGTCATCCATAAATTGCTATTACATTGTTATTACTAATAATTATAATTTGTGGAATCAAATATTCTGTTTCAATATAAGTTTTTATGTATAATATGATTTATGTGTAAATATTTTTGTCTTAAGTATGAGGCCCGTGATTCTATCTATAAATCTGTAAGACATATATTTATTTATTTTATATATCTTTTTGGTAAGACATATATTTACAAACATATCTTAATCTACCTTTTTAAATGTAGTTTATTATGTTAGTGAGCTACAATTTTTATCTTTTTTTTTTTTTTTTAATCTAAACCAGTTCACCTTTACTCATACAGGTAGCTGTTTAGTTACCTCTTCAGTTGGCATACATTTTTACTTTCCAGATTGTTTCAAGGCTAAATGAATTTTTTTTTAGAACAATGACACTTTTTAAATTCACCTTAGGATACTAGTAAAAAGGATGTGAGTGTCTTAAAATGATAAATTGTTTGCATAAAAGAGTTTTAATCAGGCTATAAAACCTGAATACAGTATTTTGAGCTTAGTGCAAACTGAATTTCAAACTTAATGCAACTCAAACTTGTAGCTCCTAATGCCATTACTCACCTTAAAAATAGACTCAAAATGATTTGACTGGAGGGCAAGCCTACCAGCTATAGTAAGAGGCGTGTCTCGTGGCCTCCACCCTTACCATCACACAGGGTAAGTTGGAACATGTCAGGTATCTTAAAATATGCAGTGGAGCACCCCAATAGACAGTCTTTTGTAGATAGACTTCATTGCCTTTTAACTTAATACCAAATCGTGTGTTTATCTGATTGGGGGGATGTTAGAGAAGAAACCCTAACTATTGAATTAATACAACTAAGAAATGGAATTTTCATGATAAGAGTATATACAAAATAACTTTTGTAACTTACAGCAACCTGACAATATTGGTTATTTAGGCTGTTAAGTCCCCTCCTCTCTCCTCCCCTCCCCTCTCCTCTCCTCTCCTCTCCTCTCCTCTCCTCTCCTCTGCTCTCCTCTTCCTCTCCCTCCCCTCCCTTCCTCTCTTTCCTTGTACTGGGGATTGAACCCAGAGCTTTCACATTAGGCTACATCCCCATCTATTTTTATTTTTTAGTTTGTGGCAGTGTCTTGCTAAGTCACTAGTATGCCCAGGCTGGGCTCTAACTTTTTCTCCTCCTACCTTATCTTTCTGGAATATAGGGTTATTAGCCTGAGCCTCAGTGTCCAGTTTGTAATTTATGTTTTTGATGGATAGGATATTCCTAAAACAGACTTTTCAGTTCTAGAATGTTCCTGATATAATATATTATAACAAAGTTACTTCTGCCCTTGAGTACAGGTCAATTCTTAGATCTTTAGGCCCTTTAAGAAACTTCTAGCAGTATCGTTCTGTTTCTTTAGTTTCTAGACAGGAATGTTAGCTAAGTGTTACAGAAACATTTGTGCATTTGTTCCTAAAGAGCTCTAATATTGGAATAAGTTAAAAATCTGATACTCAAGCAAAATTTTTAGCTTAAGAAAAGGATCACTTATATATTTTATTTAAATTTTTATTAAATGTTATTAAAGTACCTACTTGTAAATTAAATAAGCCATCTGATTAGACTCTTTGAAGGGCTTTATTTGTGTACCTATTCAAAGTAGAAATTCCAAAGGTAACATAGATTGAATTCTATTAGTGATTTCCATAGGAAGTGATTTCCTCTGTTTAGTTCTAACATGAGAGAAGTTGACTACAACATAATGTTTTATAACTCTGAGAAAAGAAGTGAAAAATTCCTGAGTATTTGTGGAAGACATTTGAACTTTTAGTCTTTGAATTAGGCCACTCCTCTGTAATTGTAAATCTTTACCATGAAGAAATGGTGAATTTAGGATTTAAGGTATTTATTTAGGTTGTCATTTGTCTAAGAAATCTTTAAATGTCTAGTTGTTTAGACATCAGTGAAGTAGCTACAGCAAAATAAAATATTTTACAGGATGCAATTTGAGCTCAGACCTTTCCCAGTGTCAGATAATGAGATGTAAAGGTTGTCATCATTCCCAAAATAATGTTGCCAAACCAATGACGTAAAAATTATGCACTAATAAAAAATTGTTTCATTTAAAAAGTGTTCTCTTTACTTGTAAATTCAGAACAGTTTACAAATCATAACATATGTGAATTTGGTATAAAATTGTGTTTTGAGGTTAGTTTTTCATGCACCCGTTCCTTGTTTGAGATGCTTTAAAAGATCCGAGTTGCAATGAGTTGAGTTTTACTGCCTATTAAATATACTGCTCACTGTTTTATTATCTCCTAAAATCATTTAATTAATGGAAAGTATTTGATAATTTTCTGCCTTGAATTTCTTAAAGTCTTTTATAAACTTTTCTCAAGGGAAAATAGTTTTAGTGTTAGTTTTAACACTAACACTAGTAGTTTAGTAGTTTTACTAAAGTTAAAACACTTTGGTGGAATTTTAAAATTCTTTATAAATTATTGTGCTTTAAATCATATTCATGTTTGCAAATTATTATATTGTCTGTTTAAAGTAATATTTTCATTAAGCACAGATATAACTTCACACATACAGATTTTCATTTCTTTTACTTATACATTAAGCTATAGAGGTATGTAACATTCAACTGTATTGGTTTCTGTATGTAACAATTGTACATATCTAGGGACAGTCTTAAAATGCCAAGGCAAGAGTGTCTATGTTTAATGCCTGTAATTAGTTCTTTGACAGGCTATCTAAAAAAATACAAGTTATTTTCTAAGTCTATCACAGATAAATTGTGACTTAATGGAATTTTTTTGATTGCCACAAATTTTATTTGTAGAACCTGATCTTTCTTGTTACCAAATTATGTGAAATCAGTGGTTTCCTCAGAAAATAATAAGACAAACGTTGATTAATTATAATCATTAGTAATAGAATAATATTTACTCAAAACCCGTCACACAGTATTTATTGTCTGCCACCATTGTAGGAGGCACTGTGAAAGTCACTAAGGAAGTGTGAGATGTAGGCTGAGTTCCAGCATAACCAAGTCAAAGAAAATAGACATGAAATCACTAGAGCACCATTGAGTTTTTAGTTGTATGAAACCAAATAAAAAAGAGAAGTTAGGAAAAGCATAGGCATCAGTGTTATCTGAAATAGTTAAGAAAAATTGTGCATGAAAGTTATAATTTTACTTAGACTTAACAGGACATGCAAAAATGTGGTTAAACTAAACAGAAGGTCAGTCCAAAAAAAGAGAATTAGGTAAACTGAGATTAAATGGGGTATCTTCATGGTAGCAAGGCATTGGGTCCACTTAGGGACAAATGGTCCATGTTGGAGAATGAAGTAATACATACAATTAAGAGGCAAGTTGAAATTTCCTTAACAGGGATTTTGAATACTACACTAAAGTATTGATAGATTTTCTGTAATACTATAAGTAATTTTATGTCAGGAAAGTGCCTTGTTTAAATTAGACTTAAAGAGGGATTAGCGTAGCAGTAGGCTATAAGATAAAATACAAAGACTTGAGAGGATCGGTACCAGAAGGCTGAGATGCAGAGAGTTTTGAAAACCAGTAAACAGATTTAGAATCATGGGAAAAAATTAAGTTTGCATGTGAAGTAACCAAAAGTAATTAAATGATACTATTGGAGATATAAAATCAGAGTGAAAATTGGAGTTGAAAACTTTGGAGGAAACAGTCAAAAAGATATTAAAACCATCTAATTTGGTACCTCATGCAGGTAGAAAGTATCTTGGAAGAACTAAGGGCCAAAGATACTTCAATTTAGGGAACGGGAGGAAAATCAAACCAACAAAAAGAAGCGGAAAGAGCAGTCAGAATAGTGAGGGACTATAGAGAAATATGTTTCTGTAAAAATCAAAGGGTTTAGAAATGAAGGAACCTGAGAAAGGTTTCATGCAGATTCTTTCTCATTTAATATTCAAGTGCTTCTAAGTCTCAATGTTATTATTAAACTTCTGTTAATAGGATTTATTGAGGCCTAATAATAGTCATCTTTATATTAGGGACTATTAAAAATTTAAATAGAACTCATACCTTTAAAGATTTATATATATATATATAT